GTAATAGCGATATACTGAATTTATTTTTAAACGGGGCAAATCATCAAGAAGTCATTATGCTGTCGATATAGTTGAAGCACACATGTGTACGATAATCCGCACACACACAAAAATCTAATCAATTCGAAAAAAAAACCCAAACAATCATTGCATTGATGCATAATTAATTGAATTTGGAATGTTTGCGGTTTTTACCAGCAACGCTCTTTTTTTTCGCCTCAATCGCAAAAAAAAGGGGGGATGAATACTTTTCAACAATGCTGCTCAACAAAGTTATAAATCTTTTTTGTGTTGGTTCGCATAAAAGTTCCATTTTCCGACTAAGTTTTTTTTTTATGTTTTGAAGCTGGCAAATACTTACGCAATGATTTTTGAGCGTCAAAATTAAAATTGTTGAAAGTATTTCGGTGTAAATTTAATTTGCATGCAATGGATTTTGGTGTTGAACATACAATACATGGGATATAGAATATTTCAAGTATAGGATCCATGCAAACATCCGCACAAAACTTTTGATGTTATATATTTTCAATTCTTCAACATTGTTGCGGTAATTCGTCTACACTGTTGTCTTCTTCACACATTTTATACGGTACAATTTTCGGTATATACATACATATTTTTATTGAAGCGAACCAGGACCGCCATATTGTTTAGGGTACCAAATTTTGATTTCAATTATGAACACATAAATACAAGTTCTGGATTTTTTTAGCAGAGAATCTGGCTGACTTGAATAAAACAATACATTCTCAATACAATACCACCGCAATCAGCTACTGCAAAGTAGTCATATATGCCATTCATGCCCGAATCATGCCATTTCCCCGGAATAGTTCAACATTTGAATGAAGAGGCGCCTTCAAAGAAAACGTATGCTAAGAATTCACCCATTTCTTGGTGCGGAAATTCATGAAACACTCAAATGTAACTTTTGACTCAGATACCGCGTCAAAACCAAAAGATATGCTAAGTGATTGTCGTGGTGGTTTCGGCATGCGAAAAATATCCAAGGCATTATGCCAACGAAAGCGATGTAAGTATATGTTAGCTGAATGGCAAAATGAAATTTTTGAATTTCACACTTTGTTTTCGTTTGTCTAATATTGCTAAGCACGAATCAAGTTTACATCCGCGATAAAATTATAACTCTAGTTTTTGATTTGGAAACGTTACAGTTACGGCGAAAATCGAGAAAAAATAATGCTAGAAGACATACATGAGAAAGACAATCGTTCATGAGATACATTTCAGTCGAAATTTAATACCATCAACACCATGTAATATCGCATTTCCGTTACTTTGCCGCTTGCAAAGAGAGCGCATATAATAAATTGGGGAAGTTTGATTAATGTGGTGCTAATTTAATTTGCTTTCTTTCA